TCACGAGAATGGCAGGAACAGATTCTGTAAAATTCCCATTTTTTCGCTTGAGCCCAGCACTCCAATAGGCAACTTCCTACCAAGAAATGGGGTTTTTTAGAGGTATAACCACACAAAACCTACTTTTCCAAACAAGAATGAGTATTTCCCCACCCTTTCTCCCACGCCTGATGCCACAGAAATATCCCATGAGGAAAAGAGCCAGGATAGAACTCCTCTGGCCCAATCCCCAGTTTGTTTGTCCTTCCTGCTCCTTGGGTCCCATCAAAGCTGGGACTTTCCTCAGTGATTTATTAAAGTTTGGTTTTAAAACAGAACAAAATCTCTCTGCAGCCTTTGTGTGTTCCTAGGTCTCCCAGCAGAATCCCATTTTCCCACTGGTGTCTGTGACATTCCCAGGTGGGTTTTGCACCTGCAGGAGCGATGGGAAGTTGAGGGAGAGGGAAAATCAATGTATGGGAGGCAGTGGAATCCTAACAAGCAGTGGGGTGTTAATATGGGAACAGTCCTTCTTTCCTGTGAGCCTGAATTCCCAAATCCGTGAGCAGCAGAAAAACCATCTGATAAATATTTACAATGTGATTTCTATATAATGTAAAAATGCAAATCCTCGCTCTTGAGCAGCGTGGATGGAAACATAATTAAAGATGAGGAGACAAATCCAACTGAGATGAAAAGGCCTTAATTAGAAATCAAATATTTGATGGGCTGGGGAGAAACATTAACGCTGATGTGGCTGTCAGATAACACTTGGAATGAAGAGAACATGGAAAAAATGTTGTTTTCAATCCCTCCCATTGGCTTTGGATAATCTCAGTTCTAAATGTGAGCAGGGAATTCAAAGTGCTGCGGCCTAACATGGAATTTGTCTTTGAAGTGCGTTTTTATGGAGAAGTAGTTGTTGAGTTTGTGTTTATTTGTGTACATAATCATCCCCAGTGATTATCCAAGTTTAAATCCCTTACAAATCTTATCCCGTGGGATTTGAGCTGCTGGGATACCAAAGGATCCTCTTG